CCAACCCACCTGTTTCCATAACTCTAAGGTTCGTTGATCAGGAAACCAAGGGCATTCCTGCCAAATTAAGAGCATAAGCTTGTGTAGAGCTCCAGGCTCTACAGTGCACTGGGTACCCTTAAGTAGCTGTTGCACTGTTTTAAAAAATGCTTTCTGCTCTTTGGTCACTTCTTGACCCATCATAACCCTACCCCTGATATTTTACATGTGGGTTCCATCCTCCTGATGGGAGTCAGGACTGTCCCTTACTGGATTTCCCAAAAATTGATGAACTCTTCTCCTTCACCCGTAACTTCAAGGCAATCACATCGGGGTCACCACTTGGAAACCTTACAGCTTGCAGTGAACACCGGGAATGAAGTACTCAGACAATTCCAGCTGAGCAGGGTTGGGGGTAGCTCATCTGAGAGAGTCCAACCCAGCATCTCTCCGCCAAGTTGAAAGAGCTTGTTAAACCACAAACATCCACTAGATGGCTGTATAAAGTCAGTTACTGAGACATCTGTGACCTTGTACAACACTCAAATCGCTTTCTTAGGAGGCTGTTTTCAGCGTTCCTTATCACACCACACACTCCACTCCCTGTCCTGTTTTCAGGATCAAGGAGTTTCATTCTCATGCACAAATAACATACATAAATGCCTCAGTATTTTTCCATGCCCCAACCTCAAATGCCATGTACATAAGCTTGAATATGTTACCATGCAACCCCCACAGTGGCTCACACTTGTAATCCCAGCACTTTGGGAGGCCAAGGTGAGTGAATCACTTGAGGCTAGGAGTGCAAGATCAGTGAAACTTTTTCTCTACTAAGAAATACAAAAATTAGCTGAGTGTGGTGGTGCATGCCTGTAATCCCAGCTACTTAGAAAGCTGAAGCAGGAAGATCACTTGAACCCGAGAGTCAGTGGTTGCAGTGAGCCAAGATGGTGTCGTTGCACTTCACCCTAGGCAACAGAGTAAGACTCTGTCTTAAAAAAAGAAAGAAAAAAAGAAAGAGAGAGAGAGAAAGGGAGAGGAGAGGGGAGGGGAGGGGAGCGGAGGGGAGGGGAGGGGAGGAGAGAAGAGGAGAAAGAAGAGAAGAGAAAAAGAAGGATAGCTCAAATTTCTACACAGGCTTGCAGGTCAGCCATTCTAATGAGGTCTATTCCATATTTATCTAGAAGAGAAGACAAGCATGGAACACTACCATTCCCAACTCAGGTGCCTCATCCCTCAATCGATAGGGTTTCTGCAAACATTCTCAAAATCAGTGGCTTCCAAAGTGGAATATATGCACAAAACAATCCTTTTGGGGGGTACAGGAAGGAACGTTACAACTTCTACTTATCTTTTAACCTAGGAAGATAAACTAAGCTTTACTAAAAAAAAAGTGGATTAAAAAAATGAACTGACATTGCACACTCACACAGTCTGCACGTCAGAAAGTCGTGTTCTTACTTATACGTGGAAGTTAAAACAGTTGATACCACAGAAGTAAAAAGTAAAGCAGAGAATACTAGAGGCTGGAAAGGGTAGGGGAGAGGACAGAGAGATTTGTTAAAGGATACAAAATTACAGCTAGATAGGAGTAAGTTCTAGTGTTCTATAGCACTTATAGGATGACTATAGTTAATAATAGTTTAAAATAGCTAGAATGGGGATATGAATGTTTGAAACAGAAAGAAAAGATAAATGTTTAAGATGATAGATATGTTGATTACTCTGATCCGATCGATATATATGGTATAGATCACATCACTATGCACCCTAAACTATGTACAATTATTATTTGTCAATTTTAAAAATGTAGAAAAAAAGAAAGTCATAGGCCATGATTGGTACCCTGAGGAAATGAAAATCAACTGTTCCAAACTTCTAACAACTGGTTTTATTTAAACACATATACTATACCTAACACTGTGGAAAATGTTTATAATTTAGAGATAAATAACCTACATTTATATAGGTATATTCGTTACTTTTCCTGTTACTGAAAATATACATTATTTTGGACAAAAGACATTTGAGAAAGAGAAGAGAACCATGCGTTCACATTTCCAGAGTGCTTTAACTAACCTCCCTGCAAGTTCCAGTCTCCCAGGGGGTACAGACAAGTGTACTTGGGACTTAAGTAGAAATATGACCTGCCTTTCCCACACTCCTGATCTGTTTCCTAAGGCAGGCAGGCAACCACTGTAAGTGCAGCAATGCATAATGTCATAAGTCCTTAAGATGTTCATCTTCTATGTTATGAGTACTTTTGGTTGCTCTTGGGAGGTAAGTATTATAGTTTATTTCAATGGAGACTAACTCAATAAGAATCTTACTGTTCTTAAAATAATAGTTCAAAATTAATGAATCTTAATGTAAAATTCCAAAAACAAAAAGAACCTATCTTACCATCTAACTCTACAAATTGATAATCACACCTTATATTTAAATCTCAACATTCTGTGAATACATTTTAAAATAACTAAATGTGATGATCTATTGTTCCTCATACTACTGTCTGCAAGAATATTCTTGGAAATAGTCTTTTAATTAAAACTTTTCAAATTTTCCTTTATTTTGATGATGTTGTAACACAGGTTAAAAAAGATATATTATGGATCATCAGAAAGACTACCTTAAAACAGAGAATTGCCATCTACTTGAGTGCAAAAAGTTAGAATCTGTATTTACAACCATATTAGGATTAAGCAATCATGAAAAGACACCATTTATTTTTAATCCATTTGATCTCCAACTTTAAACCAAAACCTCTGGAGTTCAGTAAGCCTTTTTTGTTGTTGGCTGATGTTAAAAGGGTACATTATTCAAGAATAGAAAAACATTGTCATATTCAATTTATAAATTGAAAAGTCCAGCACAAATAATGGAATTAATGTGCATGACTGATCTGAAACCTGATAAATATGGCTTGACTACTTTATTGTTTGAATAAGCTATAAACACAAGGCAAGTTATAAGAAAACCGTTTCAGTCAAAAAAGCTGAGTTTATCTAAATAGAAAAATATAAACAAATATAAAATGATTTTCCATGTTTTCAGAAAGGGTTTTCAACCTATAAATGTCTTATAAAGTGGTATTGACAAATATTTAGGAAAGATCCATATTTGTAGTCTATTTTATGTATGAAACTCTTTAAGAAATATTTTCCTACTTACTCAACACCTTAGTTTTATTACGAGTTAGTAGATTTAGCAGAACTAATTCACCAATATTTACATATTAAACAATAATTAAAAATAATCTTCCATACAATGTATTAGAAGCAGCCAGCTAAAATTTACTATAGGCATAAAATGTCTGACCAAATTTCATAATTATAAAAATCATTTAACTCATGAAATTTATTTGTATTCATTTTAATAGGACTATGGTTTATTATTGCTTCACAAAGCCTTTGTGTTGGCAGTTTCCATATCTGAAACTATTCTGAGCTGTTTTGAATTTCAATTATATTTTAAAATATATTGTGCTGTCAAATCCAGTGGCTTGCACCAAGGCTTCATATATATTTATTCAAATACACATACATATATATAGCCTATTAATATATATTTCATACATATTCAACATATATATGGCCCACATACATATTCGGTCCCTGAAGATCAAATATTAATAAATTATCATCTACCCTTCATATTCTATCTTTCTGTACCTAATTGTGATTGAACTATGAAAAGACTACTAAGTGACTACATATCACTGACATATCAAAATAAAATCATAATAAAACATGGTACTGCTTTCTGAAAAAAAAAACTACCTGTAATTTTCATAAAAGCTTATGAAATTATTTTTTAAACAATATTTAGTATTTTACTACAGGTAAAATCTTAATAGCCTACATATGCAACTGGATCATTAAAAATTATGAATTCTGCCAGTATGGAGATACCTTTGTTGACTTTATTAAGCCATGGCTTATTGATAAAATGTTATTAATCAAATTTGTTGTGCTATTTTTTGAGCATGCAAACCCAAATCAAAGAGACCTTAGGAGAAAAGTATAGGGAGAGTTGGGTATTTTGGGAGATATTGCCATTTAATTCTTAGGCCCATGAAAAAAATCTACAAAATAAACTCTAAGTAATCAAAGTAGAAAATTACTGACTTAATTATTGCCTTCACATAAAATGAAAAATTATCTCTACGATACAACAAACAGAATAGCCGGAAGTCTTATGACAGATTTAAAGAAATTATTCAAGATAATATAATCAAATGCATATGTGCAGAAATATTTTTTTCAAAATTTATTTATTTATTTATTTTTTTTTTTGAGACAGAGTCTCACTCTGGTGCCCAGGCTGGAATGCAGTGGCTGGATCTCGGCTCACTGCAAAATTTGTTCTTACTAAAATCTAAGTATCCCCTACTGTTTTATAAAATTTAAAATAAACTGCTCTGTTTCAAGATGTTGGCCTCAAGAATAAAATAACTTCTGTCTATTTGATTAAAAAAAACCTCTAAGTTTATGAGAATAATGATATACTTTAAAAAATGTTTTCTAAGAATAAGCAAATTAAATGGTGTGGGTGTATACACACACATATATATACATTAATAAAACCTCACTCAGGGTAAGTACCCCTTATCTGAAATGTGTGGAACCAGAGGTATTTCAGATTTTGGATTTTGGAATATTTGCATTATATACTTACTAATTTAGTATCCAAAGTTTGAAATGCTCCAATGTACATTTCCTATGAGCATTATGTCAGTGCCCAAAACATTTCAGATTTTTAGATTAGGGATGCTCAACCTGTATATGTATGCTTTCAGTATGTGTGTGTGTGCTTATATACCAAATGTTTAAGAGGGTATTAAATGTTTAAAAGAATACCTTTTTGGGCCGGGCTCGCTGGCTCACACCTGTAATCCCAGCACTTTAGGAGGCCAAGGCAGGCAGATCACAAGGTCAGGAATTTGAGACAGCCTGGCCAGCATAGTAAAACCCCGTCTCTACTAAAAATACAAAAAATTGGCCAGACATGATGGTGCGCACCTGTAATGCCAGCTACTCAGGAGGCTGAGGCAGGAGAATCACTTGAACCAGGAAGGTGGAGGTTGCAGTGAGCCAAGATCATGCCACTGCACTCCAGCCTGGGCAACAATGTGAGACTCTGTCACAAACAAACAAACAAACAAACAAAAAAGGATACTAGTTTTGTAATATATTATGATTCCACATGTCATTCTGAAGTATTACACATTTATTAATACCTTAGAAAATATTAAATTCATTTTTCCTTGAACTGAAGTACGGTCACGTTTTAAAAGGCAGTATTTCACATGCATTCAGTGCCACTTTGTGACAGTTGTATTTGTGTATCTACATATATTAATACCTTAGAAAATACTAAATTCATTTTTCCTTGAACTGAGACACATTGACAGTTTAAAATATTTCACGTGCATATAGTGCCCCCTTGTGGCAGTTGGAAGTATCTGTGTTATCTACGTAAAATTATGGTTTGTATTAAATAACTGCCATTTTTTGGACAAGTTATATGTATAGATTATTGAGTAAAAATTCTTAACCTAACATCTGTTATTTTGTTTCAAACTAAACTTTGAAAAAAAGCATTTTTCAGAATGTCTTCAAATGGATATAATTTAAAAGGAGACTACATCGGGATCCCTAGATCGTCTACTAAATATACCACTATCAAGATACTGAATCTTAGACTGACTGTATAGCCATTATGGACCTCAGTTTCCTTATCTTTAAAGTTGTTCAACTAATCATTAATTAAGTCACTTTCATCCTAAAATTCTATTTGATTTAGCCTTAGAAAATTATGTTTGTTTTTAACATCCTAATATGAAATATAGGTCAGTTTATGGCACACTTTATCTTTTTATTAATATGAGTTTTTGGTTATGCATTCTGCTTGAAATTTCTTCAGAAAATTCTCAATTTATTATTCTCCCTGTCCAAACAGCCTTCCCCTAAACAATACACATTTAAAAGATTTCATTGAATTATAAAGAAAAGTGAGCTAAAGTAACCGAAAACAAGTTTTGAAACATTCCGTAAAGATAAGTGTGCATGTATTTGATAAGATGAGGTCAATGGCAAATCAAGTTCCCAAAAGTTAATGTGGCAGAAGTCCCTCCAAAGCTTTTAGAATCTTGGGTGTTACTCTGATAAATAAGAACTAGAACAAGCTGAGTTTGGGCAGCTCTTCCTATCATAATCTGGATCAAATATTACCCTGTACTGCAGACTTGGCACCTCAGATTTATCTGAACTACCACTTCATTCCTCCATTTTCAGTCATCAACTCAGTCCTTGTTTCAAAATGTCTTTCCCTAAAGTATCTCTTCTTGTTCAACCTCTGTGCCATCCATTTAGTCCAGACACTCCACTTCCTAGCCCTGCATGCTAAAATATCAATCACAGAATCTTGCTTTTCAAAGATTGGTCTAAGAACTTGCATCAGAATCACTTGGACGGTTATTAAAACATGTCATTCCCTACACCCCATACTGTAGACAAATACTGTCCACTGAAAACATACGAGTCACATACATAATTTTAAATGTCATGGTAATCACACTGAAAATAAACCAAAAAGAAACCAGTGAAACCATTTTAATAATATATTTTATTTACTCCAATGCATGTAAAATATTGTTTCAAGATGTAATCAATTAGAAACCATATTAACGTGATACTTTATATCCATTTGTTTGTACTGCCTTTGAAATCTGGTATTTTACACTTGCAGCATATATCAGTTTGGATCAGCATGCTTCAAGTGCTTAAGTATGGCCTGAACCAGCCCTGGAGAAGGGAGAAAAAGCCCGAGATTTACACAACACACAGGTAATTCTACACACTCAAGTTTGAGGCTACCACCTTAGACTGTCCTGTGCACTGTTCATTCTACAATCATTACTGAATTAACACTTGAAAAAAATGTCCCTTTAATTATGTCAGTCCTAAGAACCTAGAAAACCCTGGTGCCACCAATTCAATCAATGCAGGTAGGTATTCACGGTTCTCTAAAAGTGACCTCATTCATCCATGCAACCTACTTTTCAATTAGAAAATGTTTTGGATTCTTCCATGAGCTTTCCTAAGCAAATATTCATTCATTCAACAAATATTTGTTGAGAACCCACTAAATGCCATCATGGATCCTACAAGTGTTAAAAAATACAATAAAAATGGAAGTCACAGTTTAGATATACACCAAGGCCAAATGCCCATAACCATATCAGCTAAAACTTACATCATCCTGATTTCTCTGAAATGCTCTTTCTAATCATAAACATAAAACATAAGCTTTACATTTTTGTCAGTATGATTCCATGAAATTAAGCCAATCAACTAGACAAATCAACTTAAACAGCTGTATGCCCCCCTAAAAAATCTTAATGTATAAGAGCAAATAACAGAAAAGCTCAAAATGCTTCCTCCTTTGTCCTTATAAACTGTGCCATAACTGCTGAGTGCAAGCTTCTTCCCACTCCTCCCACTTGTCTGTACTTTTTCTATGACAATAAACTTTATTTATCCTGATTTTATTTTTGACATGGGAAACAGATCAGGTATGAGGCAAATCATATATAATTTTTTACAATTAAATGCTCTGAAGTAGCACTATGAGATGCTATGAAAATACTTCAGAGAGGTCCTTATACACTCAAAGAAAATGTCTTTAAGCAAAGTTAAGACATTCACACCCTTTAAGTTAAGAAAGGGTGTGAATATAATTAGGAATCTGAACAGATAAAATGAAATTTCTAGGTAGAGAAATGTACATTATGGAAAGCAGTGAGGTAGAAAAGAACATGGAGGGCCACGTTACTGAAAGGAGCAGACAGATGAGGAAAGTAATGTGATAGGAGTCTTCCCAGGCAGGCAGAAACCAGGTAGGGTCAAACTCATGAACATCCAATTTTCTTTTTTTTTTTTTTTTTTTAAAAAAAAGTATAAATATTTGAACCGAAGTAGACTACAAATTCCTCACAAGACACAGACCATTCCTTCTACACCTAATTTCTTATGTCTCCTCATAGAGTACAGATATTTAATACTTCCTTTGTACATAGCAAAAATCACAATTTTGATAGCCTTTTAATTTCTAGAATCTCCAAGTTATACTAACAATTATTTGCAGCTTCAGCTAACTTAAAAACTACATTACTATGAAACTCAATAAAATCATTCCTGAAGTGCTCAGTTTTAACATTAAGTTCCCTAGAGAGGCAGTTTTTATGTGGAAAAACATGGGCAACATGTCCTACCAGTGTGATGCCAAAATCCTAGCTCTACCCAAGCTCTCCGTGGAAGGGGTAAAAGACATCCAACTCTCTTACTCTTTACTCTTTACTTTCCCTGACCTTATTCTTCATATCAAAGATTGTGATTTATACACACACAGAGATTAAAGGATGTAAGAAAAAATTTTACTGGGTCAAGTCAGCCTGTAACGTATCACACCCATGTTTTACTCTTCAAACTGATCAAAATATGATATACAACACTGTACTGGGAGAATTCTAAGATGGTTCCCCACATTCCTGGCCCCTGGAGAGCACATCTACATAATCCTCTCCCCTGGACTTTGGGTAGAACCTACAAATATGAGGAGATATCATTTCTCGGATTAGGTTCATCAAAAGGGAGATCTGACTAGGTCTGACTTAATCAGGTGAGCATTTAAAAGGGGCTGGAATTTCCCTGAAGTCAGGGGAATGGGAGGTGTGAGGCGGCCTGTGGAAGGGCCAACTGGCAAACAAACGGCTGGCCTCTGGCCAACAGCTAGCGAGACAAAAGGGATCCTAGTCCAACAACCACTTTCTGTCAGAGGGCTGCGAAGGACCCCAAACCTCAGGTGAGACCCCCACTTGCAGACCCTTTGATTTCAACCTTGTGCGACTGAGCAAAGCAGTCAACTATGCCACGTCCAGACTTCTGACCTACAGGACTGAGAAAACAAATAGGTGGTGCTCTGAAGCCACTGATTTGTGGTAGTTACGCAGCAATAGAAAACTAACAACATTCAAGTATTTCTCATATAATAACAGCATGTCTGGCAGATATAAAAGTTTTTCAGGCGTCATTCTACAAATATCTTCCCACCTGCTCTAAGAATTCTTTCAAAATTGGCATGAACATTAATTGTGCAGTATCTCCTTAATAATTCTCACCCTTTTCAACGAAAAGCCATTGAGTTTGGTGAATCAAGACACACTGAGTATTCTTCAATGCTGATGAGCCCCTTTGGTGAGGTGACCTTATTCCTGTCCTGCCGCCTAAGGGTGGGCAGGGTGGACAGAACGCAACCTGGACTTCCGGACGCAGCCACCTACCGCCCCAGACTCGCCTACGCCTCTGGCCTCTGAGGGGTGCCTTAAGCCCAGGACAGACGTGGAAAATGGACAGAAAAGAGGAAGCAGTTCCCCTCTTTAATCCGTAACCCAATTTCTCGGGAAAAGCTGCGTTCCCACACAGAAAGCAGACCCTCCAAAGCTGCAGCGTGGCTACCGCGCACGCGGTAGCTTCACAAATTCCCAAAGCATCTAGCGGAAGTTTAGACTGTTCACTAGGGGTCACGTGGGCCACTTCGGGCGCAGCTGGCAAACGGTTCATTTCAGTTTGAAAGTAACTTTGAAACTCGGATATTGTACTCCATGGTCTTTCAGTTCATAAGCGTAGACACCGGCTACTGAAATTGGAATCTTTATCTTCTTGCCTCGGCCCCAACTAGTAGACTAGGACCAGAAGACATCTAACCACAACCTACCGGAGCTTCACACCGGCACAGCAGACCAAGTCCACCAACTGCGCCTGCGAGAACTGGCCGCGCCTGCGAGAACCGCCTGTTCCCGCGAGATCGCAGGAACGCGGAGAGAAAGGGCAGGATCCCGCCGCGTAGGGCGGAGTTAAAGGCTCGTCGCGCCTGCGTAAAGGCCAGAGGACGCGCTGCGTCGTTACTTTTGAAACGCTTGGCGGGGAATTGTTAAGGAGCCGCTGCGGTCGCTGTCCGCGGAGTGGAAGCGCGTGCGTTTGCTTGTGTCCGTGGCCATGGCGCTGCAGCTCTCCCGGGAACAGGGAATCACTCTGCGCGGGAGCGCCGAAATCGTGGCCGAGTTCTTCTGTAAGTCCTCGCGCAGGCCATGGTGGGGGTGAACTGAGTCCTGGCGGCTCATTAGGCCCGCGGCTCGGCCTCCAAGACCCGGGAAGGAATCTGGGGTGAGGCGGCTGCAGTCGCTTCCTCCCAACGCGTTGCTAAGGTGGAGCGGCGGGCCTGCGTGCTGCTGGGGCCTACCTCACATCGTAGCCTCTTCCAGAGCGTTTGTGCAGAACCACTCCACCTCCCACCGCTTGCTTCCCGAAACAGGACAGAGTGACTGGGGTGGGCCCTGGTGTTGTGTGTAGGGGGAAGGGAGGATTGTTTTGTTAACTGCGGCCGCACCCTGACCCTCCCACTCTAAGTGATTATGAGGCGTGAGGCTGGCGGTAGACAAGATTTTGGGAACGCTTGTTCTCGACCAGGCCCGCTGCACGTTCTAAAGGAACCTGGCAGGATTTGAGAGGGAAAGGGGAAGATGCAGGCTTGCCTGGAGCACAGTGACTATTAAGTCAGTTGCTAACTCGGATGCAACAGCCTATTTTGATATCCTCTAGCCTCATAATATTAAGTTGGACTTGGTTTACAATGAGGTGAAATTTGGCAGTGGTAGGTTGATACACTTTGGATTTTTTTTTTTTTTATTGCCACACGAAAGCAAATACCTTTCTTACTTAGAAGCAAGACTTTTAAGGATTTTTAATGCCACTTTGTACCTACTCTGCTTTGAGCGAGATACAAACACGTGTGTTCATTTACAGCTTTATTGCGTAATGAAAATATAACCACATCTGAATATATTTTATTTTCCAAAGTTATGTAGTGATAAAGAATTTTCTGTAACAATTCTTTTGTTTGCAGCATTTGGCATCAACAGTATTTTATATCAACGTGGCATATATCCATCTGAAACCTTTACTCGAGTGCAGAAATATGGACTCACCTTGCTTGTAACTACTGATCTTGAGCTCATAAAATACCTAAATAATGTGGTGGAACAACTAAAAGGTATTTAATCATTGGAAACAATTTGAGTCTTGTAGACTAGGATCCACATTTTCAGGCATCTCAAGTAGTAATTTTTTCCACTCTGCACATAGAAGTGTAGAATATACTAGCATCGCAAATAGTAATTTTCAGTTGGGAGGAGGCAAATAATATGTAAAATGGAAGAAATCCACTCTTCCCCTCACTACATTGTGAGTGGGCTGAATATTTTGATGTTAGAAATCTGATAGAGCTAAAAAAGATAGTCTTCATCAACTCCTTTAGAAGTGGCTTTTGCAGTTAATGTTGCTAAATGGAGCAAGTTGGAATTTTACATAATTATATGGTGTTCACTAGCTGAGAAAATATACATAGTCTCAATATGATATATTAATTTTCTGTAGTTTCATGTTATCATTAGATTAAGATCAAGAAACATAAAATTGGATTCAACCAGAGAACTAAATTTCAAAAAAAGAGAAAGATTACCTACTAAATAACAGAACACCAACAGGTTTTTTTGTTTGTTTTGTTTTCACCTATTTCTCTTTGTCGTTTACAAAAATTCTGCCTGTGATACAGTAAGCCTTTTCTGTCTGAACACTCATTATTTTTTTTTAGCTGTATTACCTCTTGGATGAATACTTGTTCATCTGTTTTTTTTTCCTTTCTAGAATTCCTGTTTCTCTTGTGTTTCCCTCCACTTAGGATGCTCATTTCTAATTTTTCAAATGTTTCTCTCATTTTATCTTCTAAAATATTAGTTTCAAAGAGTATTACAGTGGCCATCATCTTTTTTAATTTAGAAATCATTTCTTTTGTTGTTGACCAGAATTTTTTGTTCCAAATGTAGCTTCTTTATCGTTTTCATGGCATTTTTACTAACCCATTTTTAATATACTCTTCTGATGATGGCCATCTGAACTTTTTTAGCTTGATAACTCTCTTTGAAGCTGCACTATCCTCTAGGTAAACTGTTAACATTGACTTGCCATTTATATGTACAGGAGTGGAATCCCTCAACAACCTGTGCATGTCAGGTCTCAAATTGACAGGCAAGGGAAGATAGCCCTATTGACATTTTGGCCTGGATATTTCTTTGGTGTGGGTGCTTTTATGTGTGTTGTAGAATGTTTACCAATATCCGTGACCTCTACTCATCAAATACAGTAACAAACCCCCTTGCTCTGACAACCAGAAATGTCTCCATGTTATATTGCCAGATATACCCTAGAAACAAAACTGCCCTTGGTTGAGAACTTCTGCTGTAGTGGATTGGTATTGTCTAAACAGCAAGATGAGACATCTTTTGGTGTGAGAATAGGCCTCTGTTCTCAGTGTACACAGGAAAGACATTGATAGGAGCAGTCCTCCTCTCCCAGAGTTGCATCCAAAATTGGGAGTCAGGAATAAATTATCTATAGTGAGTCATAGGGCTGCACATCATTTTTTTTTTTTTTTTTTTTTTTTGAGAGAACAAAAGGCTGTATTTTTCTCTCACATCATTCAGCCTAGAACCTCTAGGCAACTGTGGATCTGTGCCTTCATCTTAATTTGCTAGAGAAGCAGATATTGCCTAAGCCAATGGTTTTTACGTTGTCTCCTTTGAGACTGAATTGATGACATTTCACCTTATGTGTGTCTAGACCTTCCTGTTTAACTTTTCCCTTTTATTTTGGTTAAAGTGGAAGAATTGCTCTTGCCTGGAGGCAGGTTGTTCTGTTTTGAATGTCATTTCCTCTAGCCTTTTTAGGGTCTTTATCCTGTTCTCTCTTGTATTTTCCGCTTCTGTGTTTTGATTGTAATTATTCCCATTGGTTTCATCTCTCCAGTTTTAAAGAAAGAACAAATTACCACCCAGTCTCCTCCTTTTCAGAGTGAAACTAATACAAAGTTGTTGATAAATGCCAATGAATCACAAGGCCCACAGGCATCCAACAGATGGTCTATTTTTGTACTGCCCATAAGCTAAGAATGTTTTTACACTTACAGGTTTGTTTAAAAATAAGCAACAGAGATCTTGGTGGCCTATAAGCCTAAAATATTTACTAATTCCTCTTTCTTTACAAAAACTTGGCCGACTCCTGATAATGCTGTTTCAATTTCCGAGATTAATTCAAGCCTCAATCTGAGCCCCTGTTCTCTTTTTAATTTCTCTTTAGGTGATCTTTGACCTTGTATAGCTTCACTTAAAACCTTTGTGTAGTCAACTCACAAACTTATATCTATCCCAAGCCTCTTTCTCCAGACTCATATATCCAGCAGCTATATCTTTATGTAGCTATCTCAGAGATAATGTACACTAAAGCATGCTAAAAACTAGATTTAGGATCATCTCCAAAACTGATACTCTTTAATTCTCTCTTTTTTTCTCTCAATAAATGGCTAAACTGTCCAACCAGAAAGAAACTTGGAAGCTATCCCTGAATCATACTTCTTCCAAACTACTGTGACTAAACCTAAGAAATTTTAACCATGAAATCTCTTAAATCTACCTACTGCTCCATCTCTACCAGTTTATCCCCCTAAGCTTTCATTAACTCTTGCTTAAATTACTGATTAACTAGTGTCTCTAGATCCCCTCTTTACCATCTCCACTCCACTTTCCATATCACAGCTAGAATGATAGTTTTGAAATACAAGTCTAATGGCTTTGCATCCTGCTTCACATAAGTAATGACTTCCCTGGTCTTGAAGTGTATATTTCTTTAATTTGATCCATCAGGCTTTTCATGGTCTGACTCCTACTTATCTTGCCAGGATTACCTTGTTTTACTTTGTTTGTTTCTTGATTGCAGTTGTAGTGGACTGCTTCCAATCCTCTAATTATATGCTCTTCCCTTGCGAGTATATCTTCTTTCCTCTCCTTTTGCATGTTTTTAATGCTGTTTATTCCTAGAGCTAAACTCAAACCTTTTCTGACCTCCTGAGTGGCTCAAATTGTCCTTTTTTTTATGCTCTCATTGCACTTATCTCTCTCTTTCATAGCAGCCATTACAGTGATAATCTCTCATTTATTGGCGTGATGATTAGATTAATGCCCATCTCCTATGCTTTTATCTTGGATTAGGATGAAAGTACCACATGTTCAGTATTCTGTCCTTAGCACCAGTTACTATACCTGGCACAGATACTGAGAATTTGACGACAGAAGTTAGGTTATTGATGGGGCAAACTTTGTTGCATGTAGAAGGAGGTACAAGATACCAGTGGTAGGAATTTGCTGAGAATAGGGAGTAGGACCAGAGAAGAGAGCTACTGTATAATGCAGTGGACCAAGAAAGATGTCTTCCTTTTTATATATTGCAGATTGGTTATACAAGTGTTCAGTTCAGAAACTGGTTGTAGTTATCTCAAACATTGAAAGTGGTGAGGTCCTAGAAAGATGGCAATTTGATATTGAGTGTGACAAGACTGCAAAAGATGACAGGTAAGTAGGAATTGCATTATTTCTACTTTGATTTTTTTTTCAAAACTTATTTTTTATTACTAATTGAGTTCTATTTTGAACTAGTTTTATATAAAATATAGTTTGTTTCTGAGTTATATTTTCTAAGATATCTTCAGTCACCTATGGAAAAGAATTGTCTTCAGTTTAGCTTATCATTGATTTGTATATATAATATACTTTTAACATAATTGTCTTTAGTCTAAATCAGTAGTTTTCAAACAGTATTTATGGTGACATATACAAAACTACACATGATATACTAGATGGACCATTTAATGAATTGTTCAAAGATATTTCTGATATTTCTGACTATAAGGAATAATCTTAGACTCACACAATTTAAGATGCAGCTCTGCTGTACTTCCTTTAATGCCATCTGTTTCCTAAGACACTTCATAAAGTTCTCAAGGTTTCAGACTCCCTGGAAGAGAAATCTCCATCTTTATACTCTAATGTTTAGTATTGTTCTAGGCATGCTTTTCTGTAAATGCAGAATCATTTCTCATAGTGAAATACAGTTTGCTTCTGAAGCCTTTGGTTTATTTTAGGAAATTTTTAGCTTATAAAAATAATTAGATATATAATTTAATGTTTTATTTGAGACTATAGGAAATTAAACATTCAGGCATTACTAAAAATACTGAAATGATTATACCAATTAAACATTTTAGATACACTTGTTATTTTTATTTCAAGAGATGCTGAAGTTTCCCTGTCTTAAGGTGGTTGGCAGATTTTCTAGTCATCTGATACTAAATGACCTGACATTAAGACCAGCTCTAAAAGATGACTGGCAGGATAAATGAAGTAATATGGTTGTACATTGTGCCTGCTAGATTATAGGTCTTAAGGATATTTTGACTTGTATTTTTTACAAACCGCCTTTTTAATGCATTGCTTGTTTGATATTGGGAGCATTTAATCAGATAAATAATCTTACCACTATGTTTAAGACCTAAAATGAATGAATTCATTTGTTTTGTTTTGTTTTGTTTTGATAGTGCACCCAGAGAAAAGTCTCAAAAAGCTATCCAGGATGAAATCCGTTCAGTGATCAGACAGATCACGGCTACAGTGACATTTCTGCCACTGTTGGAAGTTTCTTGTAAGTATTATACTACTTCTTGTTGAATTAAATTAATTGGCAAAAAGACTAAGCTACTACTTTAATCACCCCTTTATTAAATTTTGTCTTATTTATTAGTATTATGTATTATAAATTGAAGGAAAAACATTATAAAGCAAAAGTAATATATGGTAGTCTCCCTTTTCACAGGGAAACCCACAGCAAATACATGAAACCATGGATAATATGAACCCTGTATATATTATGTTGTTATGTTATGCATACATACCTATGATAAAATTTAACATATAAATTAAGCACAGTAATAGTTAACAACAGTAATACTAAAATGGAACAATTATAACAATATGCTGGCCTCACTATTCTTGCGCTTTGGGACCACTATTAAGGAAGATAAGGGTTACTTGAACACAGTCATTAAATTGCCACAGAAGTTAGAAAGATTCAATATTTTCTTTACTAAAATAAATGTTCATCAAGCAAAATAAATTAGTGATTAGAGACCAAGCCATATGACCTTTTTTAGTAGTGAGTGGTTCAAAATAGAAGAGAGGCAGCAAGATTAGTTTTGTTTTTGGAAAAACAATTTAATGATCTTATCCCCAATTTAGGTTCGTTTGATCTGCTGATTTATACAGACAAGGATTTGGTTGTACCTGAAAAATGGGAAGAGTCAGGACCACAGTTTATTACCAATTCTGAGGAAGTCCGCCTTCGTTCATTTACTACTACAATCCACAAAGTAAATAGCATGGTGGCCTACAAAATTCCTGTCAATGACTGAGAATGAAATGAGGAAAATAATGTAATTGTTATTTTGAAATGTGGTTTTCCTGAGATCAAGTCATCTATAGTTGATACATTTTATTTCATTGGTTAATTTTGGCATGGAGAAAACCGAAATTATACTTACTGAACTGTGTGTAATTGTTTTTCTTTTATTTTTTGGTACCTATTTGAGTTACCATGGAGTTAGCATCATGAGCATGTTGCACATTGTTCAAAAAGAACCAGGATTTTTTTGGTCAACACTGTAATGTAAATTCCTTTGAAGATAGTAACTGTAGATGGAAAAACTTGGGCTATAAAGCTAAATGCTTTCCTACATCAGATGTTTTGGTCAAGTAGCTTGACTCGGTATAGGTAAGGAGATATTTAAATATAAGATACAGCAAAGGAAGTCTATTTAGAAGTTTTGTTAAGATCCTGAAAGTAATAATCTATAAACAATGAAATATTGCTCTGTTAGGTTCTTTTGACATTTTTTTCATGTATAGTTTTCCCTGTTTTTGAATCAATTTCCAATTATTTGACCTTAATTTATATAACTTGAACCTATGAAGCAATGGATATTTGTACTGTTTAATGTTCTGTTATGCAGAACTCCTAAAAATGTTTTTTTGTGTGTGCGTGTGTGTGTGTTTTATAAAATCAAGGTTTAAGTGAAAGCAAGGAAATAAAGTTGTTTGTTTTAAATTTGTCTTAAAATATTTTGATACTGGTTTGGTGTTGATATAGTTAAATGGTAATTAGAATAGATTCAACATAGCTAATTCTTGTTCTACAAAGTTATAAAGCTTAAGGATATAAAGTTGAGTGAGTTGAGGTATCTTCAATCTCATGAATAAACCAATCACAACTTATTCATCTCATAGCAATAGACTTAAAACTATTACTTCATCATTGTGAAAGGATAAATGTCCTTTGGAGTTAGTTCAACAATTTCAGTTCAACAAATGTTGGTTTTAGTATTTACTCTTAGCCTTGTTGTCAGCTTACTTTTCCTCATATATGTAAAGACTATGCTTATCTCTGTTCTTTCATTAATACCTTCATCTGGTACATGTTTTCTGTCCAGTTCTCATGTACATGTTTTTCCAAGGTCCGTTTAAGGCAGATTTGTAAAGTCTTCTCTAAATCTTATCTCATTTTGTAATAATTTATTAATGCTTAATATTAGACACTCTAAATTCTTTATGTGTATTAACTTATTTAATCTTCACGTATTTTTAAGTAACTGCATATAGTCTGAATCTGTTCATTCAGAAATTGCATATTGAACAAATACTCTGGATCAAGGGCAGTTGCTGGGCTCTCAGTGACAAATTTGTAGATTCTTCGTATCTTTATGGAATAAGTGGACCACTGGTGTTAGCTAGATGATTTCAAGAAAAGTGGCAATTAAATGCTTCATTTGTATTTGAACTATTTGAGATGTGAGACTAAATTCTGTGAAATCACTTTTATTTTTTTTCCAAGACGGAGTCTTATCCTGTCACCCAGGCTGGAGTGCAGTGGCGCAATCTCAGCTCACTACAACCTCCGCCTCTCAGGTTCCAGCATTTCTCCTGCCTTAGCCTCCCAAGTAGCTGGGATTACAGGTGCGTACCACCATGCCCAGCTAATTTTTGTATTTTTAGTAGAGAGTGGGTTTCACCATGTTGGCCAGGCTGGTCTTAAACTCCTGACCTCATAGTCTGCCTGCCTCAGCCTCCCAAAGTGCTGGGATTACAGGTGTGAGCCCCACACCCAGCCGAAACCACATTTTTAAAGGTTGTGTATATAATCTGGTCATTCAGCTCAGCTACTATTATTAAGAGGATTAAATTCTTAGATTTTTATATCATTTGCCTGTTACTGTTTACTCTGAGGTTTCTGGGGAGCTAGTCATGACAAGTCATTTTACCCCTTACAGATTATGTATCAATTAAGAAATACACATTTTGGAGCTGAGTGGGAGCCAAACTATTAGCTTTATTGAGGTCAAGCTAGACTGGAAATGCTTTGCCCTGTAGCTCCAGGTGGACCATCGCACCCTTTTTCTAGACCTTGAGGCTTACCTCAGGAGGAAGACATTTAAACCAACAACCGAAAAAGAAAATAATCACGGTAATGTAAGACCAAAAAAAACAAAAACCAACAACCGAAAGACTTGTGACTGATTTCTACACCATGTTAAACAAAGAAAAGCTAAGGTTCTAAGACAGCATGATGGGCCTCTGAGCCTGGCCTGGACTCTGGCTCAGTGTTGCTTACCATAGGTAGAGGTATGAAGGCAGGTTAAGCCCATCAAGGTCTTAAGTAGAGCCCAGGAGAAACTGTACTATATCTGGCCTTCAGGATCTTTTTCCTAGTGTCATCAAGCAAAGAAGTCAAACCTCTGTGGAAATGCTTATGCAGAGGTGTTAACAGTCGCATGTATTAGTTGGCTTTTGCTGCACCTATCTCATTCTGCTGGAGGGACGTTGGTTAGTTAAGGCTGAAGGCCAGCTTCAAAATATTCACACTGACCAAAGCAAGTGAAGGCCAAGCCTAACTTTAATGGGGCCAGGAAGTATACTCCTCCCATGGAGGTGGTGGGAAGGGTACCAAGAAGTTTGATAACAGTTACCTAATGGACTAGAGGTTGTCAAACTTTCTGTAAATGGCCAGGTAGTAAATAGTTGTGCTTTTGAAGGCATATAGTCTCTTGCACCTACTGAAGAGGCTGAAAGCAGCCATAGACAATACATAAATGAATGAGCATCACTGTGTTCCAGTAAGAAAAAAACCATGGCTGTCTGCTTTGGCCCCAAGGTTATAGCTTGCCAATCCCATAATAGATCACAGTTTGTTCTTTTGGTCACAAATTTTTGAACCCCTCCCTAGTTCAAAGCATTTGATATTGTAATATTTAAAGCTCACTTGTAAAACATCATTTGTTGGCTTCATCCACAGTATCTCAAATAGAATGTCTCTCCCAAATATACCAAAATTCCATATTATCTGAAGCACAACTAGCTCCATTTTCTTGACATGCTTCATCCCACAGTTCACAATTCTTACCTGAAAACTTGGGAAAGGATGTTCTTTGGCACATGATGCCATAGAAAGAGAGATATGGACTCTATCCTTTCATGAGTCTCATAAAAGGAGACCCTTTTTATGAGACTCAATAGGATAAAGAGCCCATGCCACTATTTTTATTTGTTTATTATTTTCTTTTTTTGAGATGAAGTCTAGCTGTGTCGCCAGGCTGGAATGCAGTGGCGCAATCTCACCAGACTGCAACCTCCACCTTCCTGGGTTCAAGTGATTCTCCTGCCTCAGACTCCCAAGTAGCTGTGATTACAGGCACGTGCCACCACGCCTGGCTAATTTTTGTAATTTTTAGTAGAGACAGAGTTTCACCATGTTGGCCAAGATGATCTTTTATCTCGACCTTGTGATCTGCCAGTCTTGGCCTTCCAAAGTGCTGGGATTATAGGTGTGAGCCACCATGCCTGGCCTCATTCCTCTATTTTTAATCATATTTTCACTATATAGACATGCGTATTGAAAAAAATGCTTTTATTAGTATAATGTACTAACATTTCTTATGTTCATTAACCTATATATTTTAGAATATAGACTCAAAGATTATTAGCACAAAAAAGTAGGTAACTTCATAGAACATTTGTTTTCATTTAGTATGTAAAATTTACATGAAAGATCAGAATAGCTATGTAATACTACATTGTAACTCCTGTATTTTCCACCAGATGTCACTGATGCTGTAATATTCAAATTAAGATAACTTGGTTCTAAAGACTATAAGCTTATTGGAAAAGCAATGTTACTTATAGGGATTTCTAGCTACAAATATATAAATACATGAGGGGAATAAACATTTAGCATTTATTATTTGCTAGTCACTTTACATGAATTTTTACTTAGTTCTCATGCTTTTGTGCATAAGTAAAGTGGAACAATGGGCATGCAAATTGTGTTGTGGTTTTTGAAGTTTAAATGGTCTCTTCTGTCCCTGGCTAAGGAAACACGCAAATTATGTTGTGGTTTTTGGAGTTTAGACGATCTCTTCCTTCTGTCCCTGCCCAAGGAAGTTCATTGTGACTCCCCAACAAGCACATCAAACGGAGTATTTCGTCACCTTTTTCCTCTTACCCTTTACATCCTTTTAGCAATAAAGTGTTCAGAACAAACTGGGTTTCCTTCACTGTGCTTTGCAAAACTTGTTCGTGTTTTATTGGATAACTTTGTATTTACACTTTCCTCAGATAGTCTGTTGTCAGATGATTTTGACCAATGATCGGGAGGAACCAAATACAGAGGACTTTATCCTATACCTAATCTATATTGTCTACAGAATAAATCAGGTATGAATTTGTGAACACTAGTGAAACAATTTTCCAACAAATCAGAATTGTTTGTTTAGTAACCTTAATTACTCAATCTTTGGTGAATTATTTTTGGTTTAACTTGTAAATAATTTATTCTTTTTTTTAAATGTGTGAAATATTTCTAGTTATTTTGTTCAATGTGACTTTGAGGAGTTTATGTTGGAATAGCTGTGAAATGGAAAATTTCTACTAAATTTCAAATTTTATTATATATTTTTAAAAATAGATCTTTTAGAGATCTTTCCTTTCTTCATAATTATGACTTTCAAAGCCAGCAGTATTCACTGAGGCTTATTAAAAAAAAAAAAAAAAAAAAAACCTAGTTGGGCAAGCTACTTAATCTTCATTAGAGTTAACAATTCTGTTCCAATCTGGCAAAACATTGTCGCCCTAGCAACAAGACTGTTAGGAAAGGCCTAGAGAGAAAAATGTCAGAGTTGACCCTCTGATTACACAAGTCGGTTTATGTTACCATTTCACCTATTTTTGTCCTCTACCATGTGATCTATTTTTAAAACAGAGAAACATAATATAGTTACATTTATCTGTAAAAAGCCCATTTTATCTACATTCATCTGCACCATTTTGCTATGCAAGCTTGTTTGCACAAAGGAACTTACATGAAATCAAAATCTTATTGTCTTGGAATTTTATCTGTGCTGAAAAAGTCATCCCAAACGTAAGCTGGACCACCCATAGTCCATTTCCTTGCAAGAGAAAGATTCCAAACACTTAAAAAAAACTCTCTAGATATGGACATATCCAGTGGATGCCTAGGCATGGATATGAATTTCTTTCTGAAATGGCAGTCTCACTGACCATGTACATATGCCGATGGTTTTAAAGATTGAGTATGTGATGTGCAAAATATTTCATATCTAACATACAGTTATTGGATCATTGTGTTTACACTCATAATAGCCAGGACAGCTCTGTAAAGAACAAGCTGTAAAAGGAAATTCATGATTGATCATCTTACTGTGTACCAGGCACCCCTGAAGTGCTTTGCATCTGTTCAGCTGACTCCTAAATGAATGGAGATTGGGGTTAGTGGAGAAATAGAAGACTTGGGCCACAAGCTGTGGTCTTAGATACTGATGATGGGACATGGGGAGGGCCATGAGATAAAGGCAGTGAAGTCTGAGTCCCAAATGAGGAGTCCTCTGGAGCAAGGAACAGCCCCCAAACCTCAGTTCAGGGCTGTGAGGGAAGGAGAGGGTGGGGAGAGAAGGACTAGATCCAAAATAGAAATTCTATAACTCTACTGATGCCTCCATGACTCCAGAGGAGACCCATAAAACAAAACCGTGAAGAAACACTAGGGAGTCT